ACATTGCTTCATTATGCAAGAACACATTTCTCAATACTATGGTCATTTTTTCAAAACTCTTCAAGCAGTCTCCAACGTTCAGCTTTGCACAGCAGTAAATTTCGCATCCAAAATGCACTAAAACTACCAAAATACTTCATGCAGGTCTCAAAACAAGTCATTCTTCCATATCACTAGCAAAGGTTGTCACCCAACAAACTTTGTCAATTTGTGAGTTTTACATACACTCTCTAAATCATAAACATCTTAAAGACATTTTCTAAACGTCTATTTGACATCAGGGATAGGATAGCATCACTGTTGAATTAGCTGGTGAAGTGGATTTACTTATTGTAAACTTAAGTTATCATGTGCATTGTAAGGGTCTAAGAAGAATGTCATAACAAATATCAGTAGATCGGCAAGATTTTAAAACGAGCAGCTCATTCATAAATTCAATTTACCTGTAGCAGATTGCTCATTCATAAATTCAACTTACCTGTAGCAGATTGCTGTCTTATTGAGTTTTGTTTGAAAAAGAGTACGTAAACATGTCCAAATTGGCCTGTAGGTACATTGGATTTTGGTGATTGTTGTGTCTGAGTGAAATCATGTTATTCGAAATGTCATTAATGTATTTTGTGCCAACGCAATGGAAAAAGACCAAGAATTAAGTAATGGGTCTTACGATTGTATTAACAAAACAAAACTGTAAGCTTCGAACATACTAATCATATGTTTGGAGTAGTTCGGGCTTGTGTCAAACTCGTATCACGTGATTGATTTCAGTAAACGAGTCTTCCTATTTTGTTACGTTTGTAAAAGGTGGCATTATACATGCTTTTTGTTACATTTACATCGTTTTGACCAGCAGCAGGTGCCGCCAGCCTGTGGTGTTTCAAGCGCTTCGAAAAGGTGAATCGTTTTACAAAGCAATTGGTTCAAATGATTCAGAAAAGATTTGTCCTTTCATTACTAGCTAAAATGAACCACTGCTTGAAAATCATGCTTGATTTTAATATCTTCTGAAATACTGATATAACAATGACTTATCAAACAAACAGTATCAAATTGTTTAGACTGAAACAAACCAGCTCTTACCACAGAACTCAACAAATTCGCTGCTAATAGTCACTGATGTTTGTTTGTACTGTGGTTCCCTTTCATGGGAACTTCGAACTGCGTCCTCTAGGGGTCGCTATGGGCATTCCCCATAGCGACCCCTAGAGGACGCAGTGTCTCGTTCCCTACTCAGGGAACCATGGTTACATAAGTAACCTGAGACGTTCCCTTTCATGGGAATTTAGAACTGCATCCTCTAGGGGTCGCTATGGGGAACGCCCATAGCGACCCCTAGAGGACGCAGTGTCTCGTTCCCTACTCAGGGAACCATGGTTACATAAGTAACCTGAGACGTTTTCCCTCCAAAAGGATGTCACTTCCTGGATGATGATGCCATTATGGAACTGTTGAGGTGTGCAGTCCGTGTATTCAAACAATTTTGGCCTGAAATTGGATCTCATATTTTTTATTCTGCCAATGTTACAAATCATTTTAGCCACAAAGACAGCTTTTTCTTTATAATGAAATTAAACCTCTGGAGTAAATAAAACAAAAACCTTAATATTGCTTAAATATGACTATATTTGAAACAATTCCCAGTGTTTTCCTTGTGTCCGTTTTAGTATTTGTATTATATTTCCCCATGTTATCTTAGTAAACATTAAGAAATAAATAAATTGGTCAAAAGTTGGCAAAAATGGATGAAACCTAAATTCATCCGTGTCCTCTTAATTGCGAAACTGATACGAATTCTTTGAAATGGAGTTTAATATGTTTTCCAGTATATTAAGACATGTGATGATGATGATGATGATGAGGGACATGAAGAGTAGAAATGACCCACTTCTCATCTCTGTCCATCAATGAGAGGTTAGTAGTGGAGTCAGTGCAGACTGCATGAAGATCAAAGGTTCTGCTTATATGTGATTCTTCATGCAGTGGCAATTTCTTAAATAAATGCTTTAATCTTTTTAAAAGGAAAAGGTAACTTTGATCTGTTTGTCCAGTGAATTTTAATGAAACAATAACCTGCAGTTCAATGGACAGATTAAAAACAAGAGGGGAAACACACACACACACACACACACACACACACACACACAATACAAGC